AAAGGTCCATGTGCACGAACGTCGTCAGGTAGGTGCTGTAACGAATGCACATTGTAAACTAAGTGTTCACACCCATAACACCATTCGTATTCATTCAGAAAGTTTAGTAAATCTATTTTGGCGGTTTCTACAACAGTTTTATGTAATTTGGGATGTGCAAGCAGATACATGGATAACGCTAAACGCCGAAAATTAAGATAAAAAGGTTTTGGCAATGTCTTTTCAAGAATCACCGGGCCTAAATACAGAAGGAACAACCTACATTCAGAAGCTTTCCATGCCGATACAAAGTCTAGTGTACGGCATTTACGGGGAAAGTCAGGAGTACTTGCCACACAACCAGATATTAAATTATTTATGTCCCGAATTGCACATGAGTTAAAGTTCCGCAGTCTTCGGCGTGCTAAATCTATCCATAAATTAGCTAGTTTTTTGGTAACACCAAGGTACACCATGTGCATAGGATCTAGAGGAAAAGTTACAATCATATTAATAGAAAGCGTTTCCATTATAGAATGTCCTTGATGGTGAATTGATTGAGTCTGACGACGGAAAGTGTCATCTGTTCTTAAAGTATATACTCCATTTGGAAAGGTCGTTTTCCCCTCCAGCCGTCTCCCAACTACAATACACCTATCGCAACCTGCCTTACCGTTGTGGTTTACCGTGTATCTAACAGAAGAACGAGCAGGTGCGTCACATATAACAGCCGCCAACCTAATAGTTATACATTTATTAAAGACATGTCCAAGTGTTCAACCAAAGTTCATCGGCAGTGGGGTTTACTACCATCTAGGATTGAAAACCAATCTGCTAAGATACGTTGAGCTTTGGTTGTGTACTACTGATTTTGACTCTTTAAAGTTATATGTCAATATAGACGGACTTTCTATGTCTAGAAGCTCCAATCAACAGTTATGGCCTATACTTGGACGGATCATTGCCCCTCGGCTTAGTGACGTGTTCATGATAGGGATCTACGGAGGGAATAGTAAGTCGGCAGAATTCAACGAATTTTCTGCGGACACAATTTCTGAAATAAAAGAAATGACTGACGTGGGTCTTTTTAGTGTTAAGTTTAATAAATGTATAACTATTAGGTTGGCGGCTGTTATATGTGACGCACCTGCTCGTTCTTCTGTTAGATACACGGTAAACCACAACGGTAAGGCAGGTTGCGATAGGTGTATTGTAGTTGGGAGACGGCTGGAGGGGAAAACGACCTTTCCAAATGGAGTATATACTTTAAGAACAGATGACACTTTCCGTCGTCAGACTCAATCAATTCACCATCAAGGACATTCTATAATGGAAACGCTTTCTATTAATATGATTGTAACTTTTCCTCTAGATCCTATGCACATGGTGTACCTTGGTGTTACCAAAAAACTAGCTAATTTATGGATAGATTTAGCACGCCGAAGACTGCGGAACTTTAACTCATGTGCAATTCGGGACATAAATAATTTAATATCTGGTTGTGTGGCAAGTACTCCTGACTTTCCCCGTAAATGCCGTACACTAGACTTTGTATCGGCATGGAAAGCTTCTGAATGTAGGTTGTTCCTTCTGTATTTAGGCCCGGTGATTCTTGAAAAGACATTGCCAAAACCTTTTTATCTTAATTTTCGGCGTTTAGCGTTATCCATGTATCTGCTTGCACATCCCAAATTACATAAAACTGTTGTAGAAACCGCCAAAATAGATTTACTAAACTTTCTGAATGAATACGAATGGTGTTATGGGTGTGAACACTTAGTTTACAATGTGCATTCGTTACAGCACCTACCTGACGACGTTCGTGCACATGGACCTTTAGATAGTTTTTCAGCCTTTCCATTCGAGTCTTATATGAGACAAATTAAGGATTCCGTGCGTAGTGGGTTCGCAGTAGCTAAGCAAGCAGCACAGCGTTATGCTGAGAGAATGTCCTTCAGCGATAGGCTTCAAATTAGTGGCTTAACAAATACTACCCCAATAGGCGCTAATGATGTCTCCACTAAACAAGTAATTATGTTTAACAACAGTAAAATCACTTCATGTCAGCCTGATAATGTAGTAATAGTGAACGGCCAGCCAGGTTTAGTCACTGATATAAAGGAGGATGGACTACTAAAATTTAGGACTTTCACTGACCCACGCAATTACTTTGATGATCCTTTCCCATCTAGTGATATTGGAATCTTTATGTGCTCCGTAGTTAGCCACGAATACACCTGGGTATCGGTTCAGGACATTGATTGTAAATGTATAGCCATCAATTGTATCAATTATATAGTTGTAATCCCATTGTTGCATACTTTATTGTAAATGCATTTTGTTTCATTAGTGTTTAAGTAATGATGATAAATCATTTACTTACGTCTTATGTTCTTTTCAGCCCACTAACAAGAAATACGTTGTTGTTGACGTCCTAAAAAAAAAACTTATGATAGCATCAAAGGACTGGATAGTTGGCAATGACCTTTGCCTTCTTCCGAACGAGCTGGTCGATATACACCTGCAGAAGTGCGACCAACCGAATGAAAATTGGTCACTCATGAAATGTAAAGTGATTCACGAATTAGGTAGGTGACATACACAGAAAGTATAATTCACTATAGATTCTCTGCAGTCGGCAAAAGATCTGTTAGTTGCCCTACAGATACTGGAATGTCAACGGAAAAACACCTCAACGGATGAAAACACTTTGCCACTTAACACTGAGAAGCCAAAAAGGTCTGTACAATAATCTTACTTACATTTCCTAGAGGTGTAATGAAGCGTAAAGAAGATTTTCTTTACAATTCAGTCGACATGGATGTGGCTGAGATGCAGGCTGGGAATAGCCGCGTACAATATCCCAAATTCCGTGTTTTCGACAAAGTGATATCGCCAATCGCCAAGTACGTTTAATTACTATTTAGATATTCACTATTTAGTTCAACACAATTAGAGACATCACCATCCACATCGGAATGTAAGCATGTTGGTGGCGCTGTATTGGACCAGTAAGTAACCTGCATCATCTAGTGACCTTTTTCACCTGTGATAGGTTGTATACTGTGGTGCTGAAGATGTCGTCAGCTATCAATGACTTGACTAAAACGATTAACAACATGTCGTCCGCCATTATGGACTTGAATGTTAATGTAAACCAATTGCTTTCAAAGTCTAATGAGCGCGAAAGACCGCATCAATTCGATTGCGGACTGTCAAGTCAGCAGTTCCCTTTGTCATCTGAAGAGGAACTACAGATGCTAGATACTGGTTTGTCGCAGAAAGAAACCAGGGACAGATTTGTAAGTCATTTACATGAATTTAATAATTTGTTACTATTACAGATGGCAATGGTCACTAGGTTATCAGGTGACGATCCAAAAACGTCCATGCGTTTTATTCTGTCGCATCTGTTGACACCGGAGGTTGCCAGTAAATTCACGTTACTTGGCACCTCTTCAAAACGAGCACTACAGAAATGCACGTTTTACAGCTGCATACGAAGTAACCTATATCTATTACTTAAACTTCAGGTGCCTTAACTCATCGCTTTTTGTCATCCTCTGTCAACGAGAAAGACCTTGGTAAGCTCTACGACATCGCGACACAAGGTTACTTTCACGACATCCGAGACAAGATAATAAAACGAAATAGGAGAAAAGAAAATCAGGTATGTACTAATTTAAAGTGATAACCTCCCTACGGCTCTATAGTTACAGTCAACAATACTAACAAACATAACCGTAAGTTCAGCTTCAAGTATTTGGCTGTGCAAAAGCATGTCATTGAGATATGGTTGTGACTTTTTTTGTTTTTTAATAAATTCAGAATTCACAGGACGACTACCTCAATTCTGATTAGTCCGTGCAATTGTTTTGATGTTGTACCTCAATTTCAATAAACATTATTCTTTCAAACAGCTTACTCTTTTACTTACATGGGAAACTGTTGAAGTGTTGAGAATGTGTGTTTGAGTTTCAGTGAACTTTTGATTAAATGCACATTTCTTATGAATAAATTATAACCTGTTCGTTCTTTTTCAGATAATTTCAAATAACAATGAATTAGCAATTGCATTGGATATGCATAACAATCGATGCTTCAGCTTGTGCTCTACTGTTGTACAATAATACGCTTTTCTTTTTAAATAAATTTTTTGAAATATTTACCGCTTTTCCACTGCATTGCAGATATATTTTGGTCTGTTGTTGAAAATAAAGGCGAACATAGGAGACCTTTGGGGTTCTGTCGATGGATAGAAAATAGTAGGTAATGTGTGTATTTAGGCGAAAAGTAGACAATGAAGCGCATAAGTAGGCAATTCAGCGGATATTTAGGCGAAAATGCGACAATTCGGCGGATTTTTAGGCGAAAATGCGAGAATTCGGCGGATATTAGGCGAAAATTCGGCAATTCAGCGAATATTTAGGCGATAAATCGGTAATTTGTCGACAAAAAGGCGAAAAAGTGGAAAATCCGCATTATTTCTCCCGGAAAGGCGACATTCTGATGCTTTTTCCCCTTTCGCCACCAAAGCATTTACCCCTTGATTTCCCCTTTTTGTGTTGCTTGGGCCTAGGTGGAAATATGTTGTCTTAACGTTTCTTTTGGAAACTGACAAAATTTTCCAATTAAAACTCATTTTGAGATTCATCGCTATTGTATTGCTTTTTTTACTTTCAGAAATCCTCACCTAATTGTTAGTTCAACCTACTGTTAAAGCTGTTCAGAAATGCAGTGCTTAATACGCAGTTAATCAATAACAGTTTGGAGAATATTGAAGTTCAAGTTAATGAACTCATTTAAACAAGCCTTCACACGTTCCTTTTGGACTAGTGGGGTATGTAACCCATGTTAAAATCTACTAAATTCTACGGAAATGTAGTCATCACTCTTGGAGTGTTTGTAGCGGCAGTATACTTTTCATTTTTCCATTATCCATCTTGGGAGCGGTAACTAATGATAAAGGTGCTCGTCCATATTTTTTCAAAGAGGAAAAATACATGTTTATTCGGAGTGTACCTTACTACAAAAGAGTAAAGCAAATGACAGATCATACCGAGAAGTTTGAGGTATTGCAGGGAAAAGATAATGATGGCGATTAAGTAGACACATAAATATACAGCTATATATGGTAGGTTATCAAAGGTTATTTATGTTTTCTGTTTTGTTCATTTGATTGTATTAGGCACGTGTTTTAAAAATCTAACTCCGCATCCTATTTGCTAACCATTCAAATTAATTTACTTGTTCGTATTAAGTGGTAAATTAACGCTTTAACTCGCATTTATTATCAAGAGGATGCAAGAAAAACCATAATGTTTTGTCGTCCCGTAAGACAAGCTACCAGTATTTATAAAAAAGACCAAGTCCACTTAACTAGGTTACCTAATACTAACACAAATGACATTTAATGATTAAAAAGGTCGGGGTTTTACAATAAGTGAGGAGCGATAACAGGGAACAATGGTCCACAAAGATGTCTAACTGTCGGTCTAACCCCACGTATTTTACTTGCAAACTTTTTGGCTAGGATTTACGGAATGACCTTAAGTAATCTATAATAATTTAAATGATATGAATAAAAATAGATTATGTATTTCTTTTAACCCTAAATATACTACTCTGTGGTTTTTATATCCATGTTTTAGAGAATACTCCTGTGTTATGGTGATACATGTTTGGATTGTTAAGATATTAAGAAGTGCACGTCAGTAAACGCGATTTCCAATGATACAGTGTTACCAACTGATCAGTCAGTCAGTCAGTAACAACGTAGAACTTCGTACGTACGTACATCAGTTCGAGTTGCCACACCACATTAGCACACAGATGCAGTGGTCGATTCAAATCCCGTAGTGGTAGAGGTAATAAGAGTATAAGCAGTAATCAGGAAAATTAGTGTTTGGAGATGTTATTTAAAGAGTATAATACAGTGAAATAAATTTGGGAAGAGGAAAAAAAGAGACAAGGAGGAATAAGGAGATCAAAATTTGGGAGAACACAAAGAGTGTATGCACCTGCGCCATTGCAAACGATTCTGAGCCATGTCATCCAGGGTCTCTAACCATCAATTGCTATCATCTCGCGGTCCCCAACCAGGTAGTCTACACCTACCGACATGACTCAGTCCACTTATCAGTGACTTCATGGATTTGTGCCATGTTTTGGTCTGGCCGCCCCTAACTTTCTGCCAACCTACTCCTATACCACTGAACATCGCACGTCGAGGCAGTCGGTCGTTGGGCATACGTAACACGTGTCCGAGCCATCTCAACTGATCAAGTTTCACTACGTCATCAATTGATTCTCCTGGATTGAGAATGTATAATATGTCCATCTTTCTCTGAGATTGTTTCGCTAACAGTCGGGTTCCTAATACTGGTTTCCTTAACAAGTCTGAACAATTGTGTGCTGTTACCTATTGCCGCTGCCTTTTCCATCTCTCTTGCTTTCGCTAGCCACCACTGTTCGCGATCATTGCGTAGGCTTCTTGTCAGCTTGCGCTTAAGCTGACTCCAATCTTCTTTATGTTCAGAGCCAGGTGGAATGAGTTTCCGAGCATCTATCTGTGCGATAGATGCTTCTGAGATAGCGTTTCTCCCTAACCTTACGGGTTACCGTCACTGCTGTTTCTACAGCTTTTCGGATATCATTCCAAGCTACATCGGGGTGGACATCACTTACATGGCTGCCTAACTGTTTTCCTAGTTGTTCCTGAAATATATTCTTAGCTTGACTGTCATTAAGTAGGGCCCTAAGAGGTCTCCTTGAAGCGTCTTTCCTACGTCCAGTAAGACGCAAACAAATACGCGCTCGCACTAGAGCATGATCTGAATCCAGGCATATGCTCTAAAATGAGTGACAGTCTTCTATGTAGCCCCTCCATCGGTGGCTGGTAGCGATCTGATGTATTGAGGTCCGACGTTGTGACGAATTAGGAGGTCGCCCAGTCAAAAAAGACGTTTTTCCTAATGCTTAAAGTTAGTATTTGCAAGGAACAGGCGGTTATCTAAGCATAGCTGCAACAGACGGTCGCCATTATCTGTTTTTTGAGACACGACACCATAAGATCCGCCCAGGTGTCTTTCCCTTTCGCTTAGTTTACCTACTTGAGCATTAAAGTCACCAGCCACTATTACTACATCATAGCGCCTAGGTTTTCGGAGAAGGTCGGAAAGCTTTCTGCAAAACTCATCTTTTACATCATCTGTGCTGCAGTCAGTGGGAGAATAGGCAGAGACGACGAAGAGGCAACGACGAGTGTCCCTATGTTTTCGGATCCTTACTGTTTCGTTTAGTCGGACAGCGCAAAAACGGCTGTCTACTGGGATCCACTCTAAGAGAGCTAGTTCTGCCCTAGGACTCAATGCTATACCTACGACGGAGAGGCCAGGAAAAGCAGCATTAGGGCTTCCAGGTACATGAAGTATGAATCGAGTTGGTTCTTCATTTTGGCATGGTGAGGTCAAATGATTGGCGCCACTTGGATCCTGGATGCGCGTTTCAGAGTCGCAGCACACATCGATGGCGCGAGATTCTAAAGTCCTAGCTAAGGAAGCCTGTTGTCCTATTTTCATAGTGTTCGGACGTTAAAAGCTCCTACATGTAGTTTAGAGTGTGGTTTCAGGAGACCAGGAGTAACGTTCCGCGTACTCGAATCGTTTGCAGTAGAGGCGTGAGGTGATAAAGAGACGTGGGGAGGATTAGTCATGGAGATAAGAGAGGTATTAGTAGGTGTAGGAAGGATTTGAATGTGACCAACATGGTCTCATGCGCTGTTACGGGTATGAGGGCTGATATCACTTCCAGGCTGCCCACACCGTGGAAGGGTATTTCTTGAGGAACCTGAATAGGAAATTGGATTAGTGTTGGTCTTAACGACCTGGGAGCGTGACTGCAGAGCCCAAGGGACAACTGCTTGAGGCCGGTTGCGCACGGCCTTTTTGTGGGAGGTTTTTATTGTGTTAGCTCCGTTCTTCAAAAGGTCTTACCGCCGGAGACGGAAATCCGTGAGGTCAGGTGAGGCGTGACATTTTAGGGTCGACCTTTTCTAACCCCACCCCTCATTGTGGGAAGGCAGCATCGCTGCAGATGCTGGTTGCCCGAGGGAAACACCTCACTGCTGTCACACCCCTCTACAGTCAGCAGTACGACTTCGCCCTCAGACCTTGGAGTTGCCTCTTTTAGTCTTACCGTTCTCCAATCGACCTGTCTTACATGGTAGAACCTACACGAACACATGTCCCAACCAATATAACTCAGTTGGGCCATCACGATAGGGAAGCCCTATCACCACGTCAGTGTAGCAGCTACGGTCGAGGAATTTATATATGCTACTGATGCTAGAAACTCACATTTTGTAATGAGCACTTCGGTAGTTGCATAAAATGTGCTAATCTCTGTGATTAAGTCAGAACTCGATTTGACATGCAGCTGTTCATGGAAATTACTTTTTGCTGATTGCGTATGAAGTTCAGACATGAATTTTCTGATCTTCAGCTCATTTTGACTCATCATCTTGAGGAATTTCGCTTTTTTCCTTCTTCCATCTGTTTTTGGTTTAGTATGTAAGGAAAAGAAATGTGTTTTTTTATGGAGACACCAAGTCTCTCAAACTATAGTTTTTATAATAAATAGACCAAATGCTGCAATTTAATCTTCCTCAGCACTTTTTCTGGTCATATTAAACTATACTTCAATGCCAAAAACATTCACCAGTACTACTATTTGTAAATTATGAGACAAAACCTCACGACCTTCCAAAAACGATTTCTATCAATTATGAGTGAACCGGCAGGCGAAGACTGACAGAAACTCTGGTGGTATATGAACGAATTTCACCGAGTACGAACACGACTGGTGAATGTTTTTAAAAAGTTTTTTAAATTTAAGCATGAAATGCTGCTGTACTCTAATCACGAAGAAGAAATGCTCCACACACAGGAAATTTGTCTTATGCTGTCCAAAGAAGCACGAAATGAACTTATTGTGTAGGAATATCATGAATCCAGAATCATCAAAGCATCCTTCAAAACAAAGAACGACAGAATCACAATGAATGTTATCCCATTTTGTGCACCCACTACTGATTGCAACAACAACAACAAAGATCACTTCTATGAGAGGTTGCAATCGATCATAGCAGAGTGCCCAAGAAAGGTCCTCAATATCCTGATGGGAGATCTAAACGCCAGAGTCGTAACGTACAACACCGGAAGTGTTCAGCACAAACCAACATTCCACTGGTCGACCTTTTCTCCGACATGTTATCCAAATGGGCCATCACGATAGGGAAGCCCTATCACCACGTCAGTGTAGCAGCTACGGTCGTGAAGAGTATTCATGACTTTTCTTTACCAGTAAACCAAGCTGTTTTCTGGATTTTTTTTACACAAAATTGTAAATTAACTTATAAAATTAATGCTTATGGGGGTGATTAAGAACCTTGGTAATTGATTCCTTTTACTTTGTCTCATAGTACTTGTTGGTCTTTGTTTATAAAAATTGGTATGTTTTTATAAAGTTAATGTAGTGTTCATAGTGTTCTCAATCGTACATATAACGCTGAAAGCACATATTCTTTTTTCGCTACTAAATAGGAACACTCCACGAAGACTGTTACAACTGAAGTTCTGAATTTATTCGGCTGTATGTTGCCAGCAATTTTTCCTTTTAGGCTGGTTGGTGTAATGCAAGAGTTAATTAAAACTGCAACTGATTCTGGCACTGAATTAGCTGCTCATCAATATCTTATAGTGTGTCTAATATTTGTTCACGCTGTAGTACTGCAAGTAATCATTATTTTACTCAAAATATTAATCTCATCATTTATCTAATGTCTTCCCACATCCTAATGTACTGATTCACTGAACTATTGAGATCATTGCTTCCTTAAAGTGTGTTGGGGTTTCTTTATTGAAGGCATGAGAGAAATGTTTGTGTCATTTATTCTTCACTATCATTTAAAATAATTGTTTGTTAACTTCATTGATTAATACATATCAGTTTGAATCAATACGACTTTTTTATATTTCAAGTACATTATCACATGCTATTACTATTTTATTTATATTTCTTTTGTTCCTATTCACTCATAAACATATCGTCTTCCTTGAAAACAGGAGTTGTTTGAATGACTTTCGTTTTTAGTGATTTATGTGTTGAGCAACTTACATTTCTCTCAACTTAGTTTTTCAATATACCATAAGTAATGTTACAATCAAGCGAATGCTAACGTTTATTTTGGGATTAGGTAACAGATTATGTTGGTTTTTACGTTGTTTGACTAAGACAGATGTTCAGTATGCTGTGTTTTAGTTGTAGATTGTTTAGAATCTAATGTAATTTCCGTAATCCTTAGAAGTTATGTGTCATGTGTAATTTTAATTATATGAACTGAAAAGCTGAATATGACTCCGGTTTTGTTTTAGTAAATCGTGGATTTAGTTAAGTTTAGTTCTGTTTGCAACATAATAATGTATTCTTTGTTGTCCATGTGTTGATAATTAACCTTCAGATGTTTGAGATAATTGATCTTCAAGATGTTTGGTTTCTCTTCATATACCAATTAATTTAATTTCTCGGTCCAAAGGAAACGTCTTAGGTTTTTGTAGGTTAATAAAGTAATGAACACAACTACGAAGATTAATATCAATAAAAAGACCACTTTTGCTTTCTCTCGTTACCTACCTAAATGTCCATCGTAAGTACCTAGTTACAAATTCATTTCACATCTCCTTATTCCTCTCTTCCGTTTTATCTTCATTCCGTGTTTACTTTTATTTTCCAACATGCACATCACTTCTGTGGTGGAAATTTTGTCCTATCTACTCGAACTCAAGTCACTAACTGGTTAGAAGTCGACTGCTACTACCAAATACGGATCCTTAACCAGTCTTTCTGGAGCTACCTGAATCACTCAAACTAACTTCTTCAACGTCCGCACACTAATGTAGATCGGACAACAGTTAAGGTTGGCTATGTCTTTGAAGCGTCTCAATATCGATGTTTGTTGTCTATCCGATACCTGTAGTTAAGACCAGCAGGGTTCCGCGAATTCGCTCTCCATATGTTGATTCGAAAGGCTTATTTCACATGCATTTATCTGGGGACTAAGATGTATCTTCATCCGGTTTGGCTGGCGTTGGTGTCTCATTAAGCACCATAGCAAAGGCAGCACTAATTGATTGGACCTCTCGTAATGGTCGATTATCTGCCGTTAGATCCGAAAGCTCTATCAAAATGCGAAGAGACCGTGTGAGAAACTCTGTTCGTTATCGCAGTCTACATCCCGACAGATCACAACCTGGAATCAATCAAAGATGAGCCCTACCACCAGTTAAGCAATCTCTGAGGAGCGTGTTCGGTAGATACTGAGGTGTTAGCCGGAGATGTAAGTGCACAGGTGGCGGTTCTAGACGCAGAAGAGTCGTTTGGATAGCCAATACCGAATCGTTGGTCGCAAGTCAGATAACGGTGACCTACACCTGTAGCTATATGCAGACCACAACCTGTCTGTGGCCACTACTAACTTTCGGAACAGTCATTGCCAATTCGCTACCTGGAGTCCTCCCTCTGCATCTCAGCATTGAACTCAGTTTGATGACATCGCGATCAGCTACCGCAAGCGTGGTGGTGTGAAAGACTGCCGCTCCTTTTGGAGCACTTACCTGGAATCCAATCATGCCCTCGTTTGCGAAAATCTTATCTTACGTTTTATTAGCCAAGTTCATCATCAAATGGATTGTTGTAAACAAGCCGGCTTCAGCTTCCGTCCCAGTCAAATATCGAACTGAGCTACGTTCAAGGCTAGTTATCAACTTACGAAAATTTATAGATGAGCACTGGCTGTATTCTCATGACGCAATAAAAAGTAGTGATTAAAGTTGTTCGAGGTTTACATAGGCTCCTTATAACTCCTTGAGGCGAATCGGTCTACTCCCACTAACCACGAGTTTGAGATGGGTCCTTACATGAAGAAATCGTGCTAATTTTGCGTAAGGATCGAGAAGCCTGGAGGTTGGAGCGTGCTATCTAGTTGAAAGAAGCGTCTGCATCTGATAACTACCGGAAGCTCTTCTTACTCATCCGAGCCACTGGCAGCAAGAAATGCTGTGTGAGGGAAATAACATATGAAGTTGATAGGGTGCCAATCAGTATCACCCACCAATGTGTTAGGAGATGGACTTAGTTCTTCGATGACAGTTCAGGTCGTCTGCTGCTTTGGCGGAATCGGTCAGACCGTCTTGTCCTCCATTGCCAAGGACGACTGATTCTCTTAACGATTCAGAAGTTTTCATGGAACTCCAGCATCCGAATAACATTAAGTTATAAAACCCAGAAGATTTACTTTCAGGCCTTTTTAAGGACGGTCGTGAACCTCTAGTCATGAAACTGACTAGATTGTTTCGAAGTGTTTGGGAATTAGAATGTTTCGATATCCTGGAATTAAGCGACAGTTCCCTACCCTTAGAATGGCTCACGTCATCTGCGCAACAACTATTGGACGGTAAGTCTACTTCCAATTGGGTCCAAATTATCGACATATTGTTCAGAACCCTTGAATGATTGATTCGAGAGGAACAAGCTAGTTTTTTTCTGGTTGAGGATGTGTTGATCATATGTTTATGCTCCGCTAAATGTCAGATCACCACCGTACTTATTGAAGGCGAAGCATCGTTTTTTCCCCGATATCAGGGACGCCTTTTATTCATTGAACAGCACTGTCCTCTGTGATTGTTTGTCGAAAGAGGGTGTGCTTGTGAAGCTCATTAACATATTGAAGATACTGTGTCGAAACACCTCAGTCAGTGTGAAAGCATGCAACTACCTCTCCACCTAACTCCATCCGAGTAGTTGGGTTAGATAGAGTTGCCCGATCTCACTATTCATGTCCAACTCTGCCTAAAGTCACATTCTGGAAACAGCTCTGATAGAAGTATGTAGTTGTGATGCGTATCTGTTACCTGAAGAAAGACTCTTCCACGTTGAGTATGCGGATGATGTAGTCTTACTGTTCGAGGATATCTATGCCATGCGATCCGCACTTGCCTGGAAGTGTCCGTAGGTATGGTACGTGCTCTGCACCTAAGTGCAAAACACATCTACGGGACCGACAGGAGCCTGTATCTGCACTCACTCTTGGAAGTGGGCGGTTAGACGTAGTCGAGGAGTCTGTGAATTCGGGTAGCTGTTTAAGTTCAGGTGATGTTACTAATTTACGTATAGTGAAATACAGAGTGGCTTATCTCAAACTGGGGCATCTCTAGTGCCTTCGTGATGTTGGTTTTGTTGTAGAAGGTCGAGTTTACAACGCGTTCTGCTGTATGGTTGTGAAACCTGGCTTCCGAGTTGAGTATCATAAGTGATTATCGTTGTCTCTAAAGATTTCTGACATTCAGTGGCAACACCATGCTAGGAACACAGAGGTTCGGGGATGTGTGTTCGATTGTAGTGACAACAATCCGATTGGTGTCACCATCTTGAAACAGCGACTTTGGTGGCTTGGATATGCATTACGAATGTCGTCCCATGCCGTGCATCATTTGCCAACGCTGAGACTTGTTGGAAAAAGCGGAGGTGTGGTCGGTGTATGACATGGTGTCGCAGTATGAAGTAATGATCTACAGGACTATCGTGCTTTTCCAAACCGATACCGTTGACGAAGCTGCTTAACAATTGTTTCGTCGTGATTTGGGACTTCTGACCATGTACACTATCAACTGAAGCTAGGAGTCATCGACCATCAGAATTCATCTTCTCTCAAACCTTCTGAAATTGAATGTTTAAAAGTCTGAAATCAAGACTAAACGTACACTTATAATTTTTAATAAAACATATCTTCAAAATAGTTGACTATGCAAAACAACCATCTTTTAGTAACAATAAATCTTCTGTGAATGAAACTTTGAGGTACACTAACGTTAGTACCCTTAGAACCAATAAATGCTTTTGCTCCCAGTCGAATACAATTAATCTCGTTTTGTTAACCTCTGTGTACTGTAAATGACCAACATTTAGATAATTAAAGTTTCAGTTCGTAGTTTAACTTCACTCCAAGATTTCGTACACTCGGTATACTTCAATTCATTGCACTAAAGACTCGGCAATAGGATTATTCATAATTAAACAAATATATTTTGCACTAAGAGAAGCACCAGGTTATTTGGATTGAATATTGCCCACCTAACAAGTAAAGCTGGTTCATTTTTCTTATCAGATTTCTTGTGAATATGTTTATGTGAATCCGTAGTCGGAGCCTTTAACTGATCCTGCTTTCATATTGTCACCAAGATATTGGAATAAAGGTTTCTTCTATTTCGAAACTTAATCTAGTCATGTACTAGTTGTAAGTTAGCCATATGTATCTTTTTTATTTTCAGAACCTGTTAGGAACTTTAATTCGTGTTTGTTTCACTTTTTAAGGACTATGGCATCTAGTGAGGAATATCCTTCGCCATCAGGGAATCTACCACTTCAGTTGTCGGCTAGACGGATTTCCAAAGCTCGTAAATCCTGTTCCGGAGATCACCAAACTTGCAGTCCGGTTAGAAAAAATCATATTGACGACTCGAACAGCATTATCGTCACTCCTTCCATTGATAGTCGAGAACTTGATCGTCTAAAATTCACTAACCCAGGTAGACAGATGGAAGAACTAGAAGTCGGTTGGTCCGAAGCAAATATGACACGAAGCGTTCGCAGACAAATGACCGTTAAATCTGGTCACAAATCATCAGAGTAAATTAATGTCTTATGATAGTCAATTTCGATTGTAATTCTGAGCCACTAACAGTTTTATTTTTTTTAGCTTCAGGATGTGTTGTTGTATACACTTGATTGGCATAAGCGTTTTATAAATTTAAAACAATTAGTCCCTTTGATAAATTTCGATAATGCAATGAGAAGACGTAGTTTATCAGAATTATGTGATACATTTGCGCAATACATTTCGAACAATCTGATCACACACATAAATTTTTTTAAACATTCTACACTTGTGTTTGTATGATTACCCCATAACAAGAATGAGGGAAATTATATTATTCATTTGAAGACCATTTAAGTCATCCAATATCCTTCAATATCTGGATACTTCATTATTGGACGATTGTCTTCTGGTTATTGTAAAACGCTTTAAAATACAATATTTTTAGTTTTCTTCGTTCATCATGAATCAATTCACGGTTTTCGGATTATGCTCTTTGAAAATATCGCTTTGTAAACCCAAGCGTTTTGAATTTTGCATTTCTGGAAATCTAGTTGTATGTACTATGAGTCGGCTACTGTTTAATCAAATGAATGTCAATGGAGTGACTAAGTAGATAATCTACCAAAGCTTCACTTATAGTCGTAATTAGACGGGTCCGAGATTCGTTGTTTGTTGAACAATTTCGTCCTCATATTTCATCAGTTGGTTGCTAACTAGTTCTTTTCTTATTGACCGATGTGATTGCAACTGTCCGAGGAAACTGTGTTGGTCATTCTGGCATTTGTTCGCGCTCAATATTAACTGTTGTTAGTGGTTTTATCTCCGTAAATTATTGTTGGGTTCACTCGGATAATGCACACAAGAGCGATTGGAGTCAGACTGTCTTAGCTCCAGATTTTTCAAAATAATACTTACGTGTATTTTACTAAATTTAAATCCAAGTAGGTGTTCAGCATAAACCAACATTCCACTGGTCGACCTTTTCTCCGACATGTTATCCAAATGTCATACCTCCACAACTAATGAGAAAAGGATTTCGACCACTCTTCGTGTCATTGTATTCACACTGACTTCCACCGTATCCTCCAGAAGTCATGTTTCCCTGTTCACCTTGTCCAAGTTCACCGAAACCGCCCTGTGCAGTTTAATTTATGCCTCTACATTTCCGTTTCTTGAATGCACTATATCCGCCTTGACTAATTTAACCTCCGTTTACAAAACCATTATAACCTCATGCAGGACCCAAAATACCATTATGAATAACACAGGCCACTGGTTACAAAAATGGACGGCCGATCATTTCTCGTTAATCATATTCGAGAAGTGCGTTTCCACTTGTTGTTCCATCTTTGGAACGAGGTCCTCGATCACGAACTTTGAGGATGTGCCCACTATTCGTGACCACAATGTCACTACTTATCATATACGTAATGTCGTGTTTTGACCTGTTTGCGCCAAGCATTCCTTGAGTCAAGCTTTTTAGAATAGCCAGCTCTGGCTAGCTACAGAATAAGCCTGACTCTCGCGAACCAATATGTGGAAGTCAATTATATTTTTGTCCTCGTTCACATCCCTTTGGGAGTACTCATTTCGTCTCACACAGCATGAAGTTCGCTCGCTATCTATTATGCATTTGCTCGCAAAGTTTGAGATTCATTCTATCCTTTACTTGCTGAAAAACTTCCATCATATTATTTCAAATGATCTGCAGGTCACATTTAACAATCAGCATCCGTTCAACGTATTTCCTTTCGGAAATATTCAGCCTGGTACTATTCGAAGACCACATTTTAAAATTAATTTCCCTACGTTTTCCAACCATCATCTCCCAAGAATAAAAAACCCAGCAGGAGCATCGATCGTTTTGCGGCAAAATGCTCTAATTTCTGTGATCGACTATTTTGTTTGTTTCTCGAATTGTCTCGTTTCATGGTAGATGGCCAGATTTGCTCTTCAACGGCTGTGCAAACTTAAGTTTTGATGGGACGACACAGTTTGTAGAGAAGGACATAAAACATGGACGAAGTGGATGGCGGAAGCAATACATCTACAACGTATTGCTCTAACAAGGCCGTTAAACGCAACAAGCTATTCTACAATCGAACTTCGAATGTTCAGTGATGCTTCAAGGAATAACTGTGGAGCAGTAGGATCTTTATCGCTGACTGATGAGCGAGAAGATCGAGCTTACCGACTAGTGTTTGCTGAAGCCAGATCAGCACTTATCAAAGTGATAAACGGACCATGTCTTGCTCTGGCAGAGGGAGTTTTCTGGTAAAGATCTCAAAATTAGTCTGTAAATAAATGACCATCACTGTATCCAGGATGGCGTACTAGACTCTTACTTATGGTGCTTTATAATATAAATAATTTTTTAAAGGAAATTTCCAATAATTTTGTTAATAGATTATTGTGCATGCAATTAGAGCATTTTCATTTGTCGCTGTAATGATGCTTTTTCAACAAAGACATATCAACATAGTATTGTGAATAGTAGAGAGTTCACTATTTCTGAGCATCTGGTGCACAAATAGTGTGGTATTAACAAATATGCTGTCAGTAAGTTCGAGAAAAGGCTTCTGAGATGCATAAAAGTTCTAAGTATGTTTGGATAAATCAAAGCATAAACACAAACGTGTTATCACTTGATACAAGCAGCTACAACGCCGTGGACCCCCCGGACCATGAGAATCTTATTAATAAGACGGGCTCAACTACAATTACGTTTGCGCCAACCCCCGGTTGGTACGGTAACAATATGTTTGACAAGAGGCCGAACGTGGTGTTATATTAATGTGGGTAGGTGATAGAAGTGAAGTATATAAATGGCATCACTAATTCTGATTATACTCTCTTAGAAGCTTTAAATAAAATGGAGCCTTCATTAATACCATTCCACTTTTGAGCATAGACTCAAATGTAACAACCACCGGTATGAATCAGTGATCAAATGTTCCAAAAACCATAACATGAGTAAACAGGTAGCGATCAGCAGAAGGTATGCCAACAAATATTCAATACTTCAAATATAGTTTGACTGTTTTTTTGTTTCACTAGTACCATCAAATATATGTTGATTCCAACTTGATAAAATTGGGAATGTCATTTTAAAATGGAAGTGTGACTAAGACTGAAAGAAAGATTTATCTGCAAACGAGGAGACACTAGAAAAATTGGAAGGAAGAACAAGTGCCACCAACAGACTGGAAAGAAGGACATCCCATCAAGATACTAAAAAGACGAGATCTGAGCAAAAGTGAGAACTACAGAGGCATCACACTACTATCGGTACCAGGAAACGTTTTCAAGTGTCGCTGGACCAGATGAAAGATTCAGTAGACACCCGACTTCCAGATCAACAGACCGGATTCCGTAGGGATCGGTCGTGCACAGACCAAATCGCGACACTAACGATCATCGTTGAGCAACCAATTGAATGGAACTCGTCACTATACATCAACTTCCTTAACTATGAGAAGCTATTTAACAGCATGGATAGGAGAACCTTATGGACTCTTCTTTGACACTATGGTGTAGCTGAGATTTTCAAGATCGTACGGAATTCTTGCGATGGACTACACTGCAAAGTCTTGGATGGTTGGTTGCTAAAAGACATATACTAAGTAAAGACCGGTGTCAGACAAGGTTGCTTACCCTCGCGTTTCCTCTTCCTTCTGGTGGTCGACTGGATTATGAAGACCTACATATCTGAGGGGAAGTACGCAATTCAATGGACAGTTCGAAATCAATTAGACGATTTGGTCTTCGCAGATGACCTAATCCTCCTATTCCATACACACGAGCTAGTGTAGTAGCAGCAGCAGCCTCTGCATCAGTAGGCCTCAGTATACATAAGGGAAGAAGTAAGGTCCTCAAATACAACATGGAGAATACCAACCCAATCACATTTGATGGAGAAACTCTGGAAGATGTGGAATCTTTCACGTACCTGGGAAGCATCATTGATGAACAAGCAGGATTCGATGCAGACGTGAAGGCAAGGACTGGCAAAACAAGGACAGCATTCCTACAGCTGAAGAACATATGGAACTCAAAACAACTGTCAACCAATATCAAAGTCAGAATCCTCAATACGAACGTCAAGACAGTTCTGCTGTACGGAGCTGGAACTTGTAGAACTACCACAAACATCATTAAAATGTACAAGTATTTATAAACAATTGTTTACGCAAGACACTCAATGTGCATTGGTTGGATACCATCAGCAACAATATATTTGTAATATCCCAATGAGTAGTAAATCGGATTTTCTGGCGTTTTGTGACTTAGTGTAAGTCACTTCTTCAGAGAATAAATAACCAAATTAAAATTAATCAAAGTGTAAATAGTACAACGGAACAATGCAAGAATAATATTTGATCAATCAAAAACAGGTCTGAACAAGTTGATGTCATGCTCAATTTATTCAAAATTATCAAATCAAACCTTGGTGATGACACCTACCATCAGCAACAGTCTACTGTGGGAGAGAACAAACCAACTTCCAGATGAAGAGGAAATTAAGCAAAGACGTTAGAAGTGGATAGGACATACATTGAGGAAATCATCAAACTGCATCACGAGGCAAGCTCTAACTTGGAATCCTGAATGGAAACGGAAAAGAGGAATACCAACGAACACACTACGTCGGGAAACGGAAGCAGATATGATAAGGATGAATAACAACTGAAAAGGGTTGTCGAGGACAGAGTTGGGTGGAGAATGCTGATGGGCTGCCTATGCTTCTTCATGAGGGCAGCTAATGAGGAAATCAGGTAGCCCATTTTTTTGAACAATACATTTACCTGATTTTTACTGATTATTTTATTAGTACTCACTACTCTATGGTCTTGCTGCTCGACTTTTAAAAGAGACAGTGGCTATTATTGTGATAAATGGAATGAGATGCGAGCGAGATGAAAGTACATTTTACCGTTTCTTTTTCTGACCTGAGGTAGGTTATTCTTGCTTGGCTATGAATGCATTTTTTATCACTAGTAGGAAATATTTTCCATGGTCTATTTGTTAACTTCCTGTTTTCATCTACTATTAACAGTCGGTTGCATCCGTTATACGATTCTCGTGGCCGCCTTTTAGGAACTTTAGAATATAATTGTGATTGTCTAAAATCTGAATGTCCTGGGTGCCATTTGCCATGTCGTAGGTGCCATTCTACGTTTTGTGGAGCATCATGTCGAATTTATCGAACTTATCGTGTTACTGAAGTAAGTTCCTAATCGTTTCATATTAACGTTTTCTTCATCCATTGAAAGGTTATGTTATTCAAGCTATTACAATTTTTAATACTCTTTTCTATTAAATTGTATTCGAGATAAGTCTGATGTTCGTGGATTTATCTTCGTCCACAGTTCGTTTGTTATCTGCAGTTTGATAGTTGACGTACTCGGAGCTTAGCCATTTGTTTACAAACGTGGAACCCACCTTAGCTACTATAAATTGTATCACAAAAAAATATCCCAATACCTTACAGAAATTTGTATTCGAAAGGGAAATTGCAGGAACTTGTATTTGATTATTGAGTTTCATTAATAAAATTTATCTTTGTGTAAATATCATTTAGTTAATAAAACTGTTAGTGACATTAATGGTTTAAAATACAGCGCAGTCGTGATCGGAATTTCTTTAATTGAGTTATAAAGTAGATAAAACTTATCTTAAAGAAGCAGAGAAAACTGGGTTGCACCCTTCTTTGTGGGATTTAGGCTACCCTTATAAGTAACTTTCAAAAGAAGTTCTTTAACAACAGATGAATATCTTCCCATCGCCTGGTTTATCAACATATATTTCAATCGTATCACCTACGTCACCTATGGCGGAGGCGAGATATCCGTCTATCAATAAAAGGACGAGTATACTGCACGGCAGTCCGTTCTGTTTTACTTTACGGCAGCGAAACATGGCCATTAAGAGTAGAAGACACTCGTAAGCTATTAGTATTTGACCACAGATGCCTTAGAAATATTGCTGGCGTCTGCTGGGATCACCGGGTAAGTAATAGTGAGGTTAGACGCAGGGTATTAGGAAATGATGGTAAATCAGTTGATGAGGTTATGAATCTTCATCGACTGAGATGGTTGGGCCACGTATTACGTATGCCTGAACACCGATTACCACGACGGGCAATGCTGACTAGTGTTGGGGATGGTTGGAAGAAAGTTAGGGGCGGCCAAACCAAAACGTGGCATCAGTGCTTGAAGACACTAACTTGTAGTCTGAGCCATGTTGGTAGATGCAGACTAGTTGGTTGGGGTCCGCGTGACTTTCGTAACCAATGGTTGGAGACTCTTGGTGACATGACTCAGAATCGATCACAATGGCGTAGGTGTATACACTCTTTGTCTTCCCTTAAACTTAGAGATTAAAATCACTTCATATCTTTCTTTTTACGAACCAATTCTTTCTTGTACTATATTTCTATATGCGATCTTTCTCTTATATATTACCACCTTTGACCTAACCACTGCTATGAATTCGGTGTTCATCTTGTTGTGCTGATGCGGTATGGCAACCTGGACCGATGCACATATGTGCCTGGTCCTACGTTGTAGCTGACTGACTGACAATCGTATCACCGGTTTTATTGTGTAATAAAATCGACTGATAATAAATAAGCCTTTCTTAAAACTAACAACATTTATCTTGTGGTAGTTTATTGATATACTGGATGACAGTTTTAAAAGTGAAAAGTCACTGTATTGACTATTGAACTCAATTTTGAAAATAATTTCTGTTCACATGTGTTTTTATCACACCCGATGATATTTTATTGTTGGGATTTGGAGTGTGAGTTATTTTCTGTTGTTTATAACTTGATATTTCTGTTTGACCTGAAATTTCAAATTAACGTATCTTCATTTTAATGTACATTCATTGTTCAAATACTCTAATATTTACAATCATTTTGTTATGAAAGTATTGAGTTAGTTACTAGTTGTGAAATTCAGAGGATACTGTAAGTTCATCTCGTGATAGTACTTATCGCAATTCTTATTTGGGTATATTCAGTTGGAAGTGTTTAAGAAGGATGATAAGCATTTCTTAAATCTAGATTTAAACCATAAGCAAAATATGTTTTGACTTATTATGTTGAACTGATAACATTATCATTAAATTGAATCTAGTTCATGCAAATTTTCCTACTTGGAGGCTATTGTTTATGGTCCTGTAGTGACCTGATCTCTTTGGATTTCATCATTGTTACTGACTTCTCTTTCTCTTTAGCTGGAAAAACTAATAAATAGCTGTTACGTTGAGACAGTAACTTAATAAATTTACATGTCTGTACTTACCTATATTTTTAATAAAAGTAAAGGAATATTAAACAACTAAATCTTGGTCTCTAATTCTATTAGTTACTTTGTATTTGTTTGAAAAGCTATTTCTCAACTCTTTTATCCATGTACGTTTTAGGCGTTTATACAAATATTTGTTTATCTGTCTAACAAACTATCTGCTTGTGTTAATATATCAGACTATACTTTTTCTATCCATTCAATATTATTGCATTGGATTGGACGATTGACCGATTGATTATTTGGATTAATAATATTCTGAATATAATAATACTCTTGTTATTGTGTTAATACCACTGTGTTTATTTTTTAATTGGAAATGCGACTAGAAATTCGAAGTAATTGAGTACAAAAAGCACGCCCCATATATTTGTGGCAATGAGTAGATTATTTCCATGTTAAAGATTACCCCAAAAATCCTAGCATTGCTTTTCAAAGCTGAGTGGTACAGTTAAGTACCTTTGTATTCAATCCTAATTTGACATATATATATATATATATATATATATATATATATATATATATATATATATCACATCGAATGTTTGAGACAAAATGAGTAGAAAACTCCCTCATGGTTGTTCAACTGAAAATAATTAATGATTAGGATCACCATGTGTACTCCCTTTCGTGCTCGTTTGACTGAAACATATTTTTTTTACATTTTTTTGTTGTAAATTACTAACTCAATAATAACGATGGACTGCTAATGTACTGACATTTCGCAAAATATAAAAGCTCACTCATGAGACTCACTAAAAATTAACAGTTGTTAGAAAACCGTGTTCATATTATCGGAGAACTCTTGCTTCAAAGTTAGCCATCCCTTACCAAATGATTTAAATCGCAGTATGAAGAAATACCTGGTATTGTATTTGACATCTGGCATTTCCCTTCATTTGGAAAATCGGTAAGACTATCAACCCATCTAATTCAACAGCAGTCTTTTGTTTGTTGAACCGAGTTAAACATAATTTTAAGTTATCTTGTTTACTTTCTCGTCTTTATTTTAGGTTAAACTGTTTATCTGACTTCATGAGTTCAATCGTTTCTCGATGTCCACCACTACAGTTTCTAACCATCCTTTTTTCCAAATAAATTATTATTCAATGAGAGTCTTATATTTCTTCGTTTACTTAAAATATCGATTATCTCGGAAAAAACGCGTGTATTCCCCGAATATGACATGAACATTTTAATTGTCTTCGCTCAAGCATACTGCCATTTGTTCTCAGTGTGGACTGTTCATCTTATAACCGATAACAAATATTAATTGGAGGAATGATTGATAACTGAAAGTACCACTAAATTATTTACATTCTTTCTTCCAAAATTAATAGTTATTTTGTATGTTTCGTACGTTTAATGCAGTCGTTTGAACTGGTTTCGATTGTTTAACGTTCACTGGATACAAGTCGATTTTTCGAACTACTTTACGTCGTCATGTAAGCTGTTTATCTTGCTTAACAATATCATATTCAAAGGAAATTAAAAAATTTTTCTCAGTGCTCGAAATTTAAGAATTTTGAAACGAACCTAATATAATTATGTGCGTTGTTAATTATGTTGTTCAGATTTGGACTTGAAAAGTTCACGAAATCATCACCAACTTATACAACTGCATATATATATATATATATATATATATATATATATATATATATATATATATATATATATATATATATGTACTTCACTGTCGCAAATTTAGTTGACTTTCAGTGTTGAGTCGAATCTCTATGTGAAATCGAAATTCACACTTTTGCCGTCTTTATACGTTTTAGAGCTAGTACACTTAAGAATTTATGAAATCTATCCTCACCCTATATCCTGTCTATAAGTCTTCCAATTTCTGATCATAACTGAAAACACATAATCCAGTTTATTACCAAGGTAATAATAGTACTGAGTTTGTTATAAATATCCTGTGTTCAAATTCTTCTAAAAAACAGTAAAACCCGCAATGAATGATACACTGTGAACTATGAATCCTGACACACTTCGTTGAACTTCCTTGCGTCTAAGAAATTCGTTTTAGCTCCCTCTATTCAAAAATAAATAACAAAGCTAATTCTTACTTACTCCTGTTACCCTCATAAAGGAGCATAGGCAGCCCATCAGCATTCTCCACCCAACTTGTCCTCGACAACCCTTTTCAGTTGTTATTCATCCTTATCATATCTGCTTCCGTTTCCCGACGTAGTGTGTTCTTTGGTATTCCTCTTTTCCGTTTCCATTCAGGATTCCAAGTTAGAGCTTGCCTCGTGATGCAGTTTGATGATTTCCTCAATGTATGTCCTATCCACTTCTAACCGGTGATACGATTGTCAGTCAGTCAGCTACAACGTAGGACCAGGCACATATGTGCATCGGTCCAGGTTGCCATACCGCATCAGCACAATAAGATGAACACCGAATTCATAGCAGTGGTTAGGTCAAAGGTGGTAATATATAAGAGAAAGATCGCATATAGAAATATAGTACAAGAAAGAATTGGTTCGTAAAAAGAAAGATATGAAGTGATTTTAATCTCTAAGTTTAAGGGAAGACAAAGAGTGTATACACCTACGCCATTGTGATCGATTCTGAGTCATGTCACCAAGAGTCTCCAACCATTGGTTACGAAAGTCACGCGGACCCCAACCAACTAGTCTGCATCTACCAACATGGCTCAGACTACAAGTTAGTGTCTTCAAGCACTGATGCCACGTTTTGGTTTGGCCGCCCCTAACTTTCTTCCAACCATCCCCAACACTAGTCAGCATTGCCCGTCGTGGTAATCGGTGTTCAGGCATACGTAATACGTGGCCCAACCATCTCAGTCGATGAAGATTCATAACCTCATCAACTGATTTACCATCATTTCCTAATACCCTGCGTCTAACCTCACTATTACTTACCCGGTGATCCCAGCAGACGCCAGCAATATTTCTAAGGCATCTGTGGTCAAATACTAATAGCTTACGAGTGTCTTCTACTCTTAATGGCCATGTTTCGCTGCCGTAAAGTAAAACAGAACGGACTGCCGTGCAGTATACTCGTCCTTTTATTGATAGACGGATATCTCGCCTCCGCCATAGGTGACGTAGGTGATACGATTGAAATATATGTTGATAAACCAGGCGATGGGAAGATATTCATCTGTTGTTAAAGAACTTCTTTTGAAAGTTACTTATAAGGGTAGCCTAAATCCCACAAAGAAGGGTGCAACCCAGTTTTCTCTGCTTCTTTAAGATAAGTTTTATCTACTTTATAACTCAATTAAAGAAATTCCGATCACGACTGCGCTGTATTTTAAACCATTAATGTCACTAACAGTTTTATTAACTAAATGATATTTACACAAAGATAAATTTTATTAATGAAACTCAATAATCAAATACAAGTTCCTGCAATTTCCCTTTCGAATACAAATTTCTGTAAGGTATTGGGATATTTTTTTGTGATACAATTTATAGTAGCTAAGGTGGGTTCCACGTTTGTAAACAAATGGCTAAGCTCCGAGTACGTCAACTATCAAACTGCAGATAACAAACGAACTGTGGACGAAGATAAATCCACGAACATCAGACTTATCTCGAATACAATTTAATAGAAAAGAGTATTAAAAATTGTAATAGCTTGAATAACATAACCTTTCAATGGATGAAGAAAACGTTAATATGAAACGATTAGGAACTTACTTCAGTAACACGATAAGTTCGATAAATTCGACATGATGCTCCACAAAACGTAGAATGGCACCTACGACATGGCAAATGGCACCCAGGACATTCAGATTTTAGACAATCACAATTATATTCTAAAGTTCCTAAAAGGCGGCCACGAGAATCGTATAACGGATGCAACCGACTGTTAATAGTAGATGAAAACAGGAAGTTAACAAATAGACCATGGAAAATATTTCCTACTAGTGATAAAAAATGCATTCATAGCCAAGCAAGAATAACCTACCTCAGGTCAGAAAAAGAAACGGTAAAATGTACTTTCATCTCGCTCGCATCTCATTCCATTTATCACAATAATAGCCACTGTCTCTTTTAAAAGTCGAGCAGCAAGACCATAGAGTAGTGAGTACTAATAAAATAATCAGTAAAAATCAGGTAAATGTATTGTTCAAAAAAATGGGCTACCTGATTTCCTCATTAGCTGCCCTCATAAAGGAGCATAGGCAGCCCATCAGCATTCTCCACCCAACTCTGTCCTCGACAACCCTTTTCAGTTGTTATTCATCCTTATCATATCTGCTTCCGTTTCCCGACGTAGTGTGTTCTTTGGTATTCCTCTTTTCCGTTTCCATTCAGGATTCCAAGTTAGAGCTTGCCTCGTGATGCAGTTTGATGATTTCCTCAATGTATGTCCTATCCACTTCTAACGTCTTTGCTTAATTTCCTCTTCATCTGGAAGTTGGTTTGTTCTCTCCCACAGTAGACTGTTGCTGATGGTAGGTGTCATCACCAAGGTTTGATTTGATAATTTCGAATAAATTGAGCATGACATCAACTTGTTCAGACCTGTTTTTGATTGATCAAATATTATTCTTGCATTGTTCCGTTGTACTATTTACACTTTGATTAATTTTAATTTGGTTATTTATTCTCTGAAGAAGTGACTTACACTAAGTCACAAAACGCCAGAAAATCCGATTTTCTACTCATTGGGATATTACAAATATATTGTTGCTGATGGTATCCAACCAATGCACATTGAGTGTCTTGCGTAAACAATTGTTTATAAATACTTGTACATTTTAATGATGTTTGTGGTAGTTCTACAAGTTCCAGCTCCGTACAGCAGAACTGTCTTGACGTTCGTATTGAGGATTCTGACTTTGATATTGGTTGACAGTTGTTTTGAGTTCCATATGTTCTTCAGCTGTAGGAATGCTGTCCTTGTTTTGCCAGTCCTTGCCTTCACGTCTGCATCGAATCCTGCTTGTTCATCAATGATGCTTCCCAGGTACGTGAAAGATTCCACATCTTCCAGAGTTTCTCCATCAAATGTGATTGGGTTGGTATTCTCCATGTTGTATTTGAGGACCTTACTTCTTCCCTTATGTATACTGAGGCCTACTGATGCAGAGGCTGCTGCTGCTACTACACTAGCTCGTGTGTATGGAATAGGAGGATTAGGTCATCTGCGAAGACCAAATCGTCTAATTGATTTCGAACTGTCCATTGAATTGCGTACTTCCCCTCAGATATGTAGGTCTTCATAATCCAGTCGACCACCAGAAGGAAGAGGAAACGCGAGGGTAAGCAACCTTGTCTGACACCGGTCTTTACTTAGTATATGTCTTTTAGCAACCAACCATCCAAGACTTTGCAGTGTAGTCCATCGCAAGAATTCCGTACGATCTTGAAAATCTCAGCTACACCATAGTGTCAAAGAAGAGTCCATAAGGTTCTCCTATCCATGCTGTTAAATAGCTTCTCATAGTTAAGGAAGTTGATGTATAGTGACGAGTTCCATTCAATTGGTTGCTCAACGATGATCGTTAGTGTCGCGATTTGGTCTGTGCACGACCGATCCCTACGGAATCCGGTCTGTTGATCTGGAAGTCGGGTGTCTACTGAATCTTTCATCTGGTCCAGCGACACTTGAAAACGTTTCCTGGTACCGATAGTAGTGTGATGCCTCTGTAGTTCTCACTTTTGCTCAGATCTCGTCTTTTTAGTATCTTGATGGGATGTCCTTCTTTCCAGTCTGTTGGTGGCACTTGTTCTTCCTTCCAATTTTTCTAGTGTCTCCTCGTTTGCAGATAAATCTTTCTTTCAGTCTTAGTCACACTTCCATTTTAAAATGACATTCCCAATTTTATCAAGTTGGAATCAACATATATTTGATGGTACTAGTGAAACAAAAAAACAGTCAAACTATATTTGAAGTATTGAATATTTGTTGGCATACCTTCTGCTGATCGCTACCTGTTTACTCATGTTATGGTTTTTGGAACATTTGATCACTGATTCATACCGGTGGTTGTTACATTTGAGTCTATGCTCAAAAGTGGAATGGTATTAATGAAGGCTCCATTTTATTTAAAGCTTCTAAGAGAGTATAATCAGAATTAGTGATGCCATTTATATACTTCACTTCTATCACCTACCCACATTAATATAACACCACGTTCGGCCTCTTGTCAAACATATTGTTACCGTACCAACCGGGGGTTGGCGCAAACGTAATTGTAGTTGAGCCCGTCTTATTAATAAGATTCTCATGGTCCGGGGGGTCCACGGCGTTGTAGCTGCTTGTATCAAGTGATAACACGTTTGTGTTTATGCTTTGATTTATCCAAACATACTTAGAACTTTTATGCATCTCAGAAGCCTTTTCTCGAACTTACTGACAGCATATTTGTTAATACCACACTATTTGTGCACCAGATGCTCAGAAATAGTGAACTCTCTACTATTCACAATACTATGTTGATATGTCTTTGTTGAAAAAGCATCATTACAGCGACAAATGAAAATGCTCTAATTGCATGCACAATAATCTATTAACAAAATTATTGGAAATTTCCTTTAAAAAATTATT